GGGAGTCTCTTGAAAGAAAATCCCAAAGGGATTGAAGAAAGAGTTTCGAGAATTCTTTGGACATTTTCTGGAGAAAGAGAAAGTGGGAGAGATTGGTGTATGTTTGGCTCAACCCAAAGATCCTATTTACATAAACTCTTGAAGAATATTTGTCAAATAATATATTTGCATATTTAATATATTAGAATATTATACCTTATACAAATTATATTATAAGATATCCTAATATATATTTAACTAATTTGAATCTCATTCAAATTTCAAATATATTTTTATTTAAGGTATCAAGATTTAATATTTAATTGTATTAAATACTATAAATATAATTTTTCTTTAATATATTTAATATATTAAATATTAATTTGAACTCTTCAAATTAATATATTTTTCTCTATTTATATTTAACATATCTAATATATTAAATATTAATTTGAATCATTCAAATTAAATATATTTTCTCTATTTATTTAATATATCTAATATATTAAATATTAATTTGACATTTCAAATTAAATTTATTTTCTCCTTTATATTTAATATATCTAATATATTAAATATGAATGTGAACACTTCAAATTTTCTTTCAAATAAATTTAAACATTTTATGTTATTATGAGCTAGGGGACCTTATGGACCTACAGATTATAAGCTCCAATTATATAAAATTAATTAATCAATTTCCATTCATTGTCACTCCACTATAGACCTAGAGTTGCACTCTTATGCACGGTAGGACAAGTCATATCCAATCAATTTCCATTCATTAACTATAGGTCGCTCCACTATAGACCTAGAGTTGCACTCTTATGCACTATAGGACAAGTTATATCCATTGATATAACCATTACAAGCAAGTCGATCCTTCACGAGTTGTTCATAATTACAGTTGGGTCAAAAGTTTGTTTGACCCCTGTAATTAGATCTTTCACCTTAAGTACCACTGATCCTCGAATGAACAATTTGTTTAAGATCCAATCATAAACCAAGTCCCTCTCAGGCCAATGAGAGAGTGGGGTCTTATTATTCAAGTCCTGAAATCAGTACTTAAGAGAAAACTCATCTACTTTCCTTATATTATGTTCCTAAAATAGTAAGCATATTGAATGGGGAGTCATTCTCACTCATGTAAATTAAAGGACAAGTCCTCACAGGCACGAGTTCATAACTCATTCAGGATTAAGATCGAGTCGCATATGATCATCATGTGAAATATTAATCTTCTCAATTAACGGATTTATAAAGAGAGATTAAATATTTCTTGGTCCAGACTTATACACTCATTGTATAGGATACCCCTACTTACATGTCTCCACATGAATGATTTGGATCAAATCATTTGTAACGGTTACAAAGTGAGTCGTATCAATAGTGTTATCAGGATAAGGCACCCCAACCTTATCCATATACTATAGACTCTTTAGGTTATTACTTGAACACGATTCTCTTGTATGTCAACGACATACGATTCAAGATTACATTAATAACCTTGAATTTTCATACAATAGATAATAATTAAATTACAAATAAAACAATAAAAATTATTGTTAAAAACTAAATAATTAATTACGAGGCGTTGGGGCATAAATACCAACAATCTCCCACTTGCACTAAAGCGAGACATGTATCCTAGTGCATCCCTACACCCAACATGTTTTTCCACTAGCCCTAGAGAAGATGAGACATGTCACGTAATCCTAGACATTTTAGATGACCCTCAGACACTTTAGCCTAGAGAGCTATTTTATATAATCAAAATAATTATCATTAAAAGTCATCTTAGTCACTACCACAATGCTTTCTCTCAATATCATTCTTTATAGATTGATCTTTTATAGTTTCCTTAATATTAGTCTTTGTGTCACTATCATCACAATGAAAAGTGACCGACTAAATCACATCTAAAACACCTTTCAAATGGTCAAGAAATTATTATAGTCATACAAGTCATTTTGTTGCTTTAAAAGCAAAAAATATTCCGCTTGTATACCATACTTCACAATGTAAGGTAAAATTGATCTTAACATAAATTTCTCTAAATTTATGTAACTAGTGTATCACTTAAAGATCAAATCTTTAACTCCATACACAATAAAAAACTTCATACACAAAATAAAAAAAATTCTCATTATCCATTGATACTTTGAAAAAACTTTAATTTTTCACTTAATGGTCATACCATTAGTTTAACTAAAATAATCTAACTAACTGTATATTTGTATATTTAACGTTAATTCTCATATACGCATTAATTGTCTCCCACTAAGGAAAGGTAATTAATCATAATTTCAACATTTGAGGTTACTTAGGATACTATTTCTCTTATTTCATATTTCAATGATCATTACCATTCTTTGAAGTCTTTGACAATAATTTTGTCAGTATAATATATATGAGACAATATTAAGGTTTATCCTTAAATCTCTAATTTTAGGACATAGAGAATTATCCCAAATCATTTATTTGGAATTGGTTAGGTAGTCATCTATTTATGTTAGATTGAAAGATTAGTAATATGTCACCAACATAATTTTTTTTTTTTTTTTTTATAAGATTTTGCCATGATAGCCTCACTAGCGTCACTGCTAATGTATTTAACCAAATCTTGGAAGACATGTGACTCTAAGCTGCATCTGGAAGACACGTGACTCTAAGTTGCATCTTATGGAGTTCACCTACAACAACCACTTTCAGGCAACTACCAGTATGACATAATTCAAAACCATATATGGAAAACGATGCAGGTCCTTGATTTGCTGGGACGTGGTAGGTGAACGGGAGTTGTTGGGACCAAAGTTAGTCCAAGCCACTAATGAGGCCATGCAAAAGATTAGGGTAAGGATGCTCAATGATCAAAGGCATAGAAACTTGAAATTTAAGGGAGGCGATAAGGTGTTCTTGAAGATGGCTCCAACGAAATACATCTTACGGTTTGGATGGAAGGGCAAGTTGAGCCCACACTTCATTGGACCCTTTCTATTTCAAATTAGACCAGAGGCCTACAGACTAGGCGTACCACGGTAGCGCTCGACAGTGCATGAAGTATTCCACATATCCATGCTTTAAAAGTACGTTAATGATCCAACAGATTACAAGCGTCTACAATAGATGAAGACCTAAGTAGAGAAGTGAAGGTCCTATGCTCTACGTAAATAGTTTTCCTCAAAGTATTGGAAAAATCAGCAAACAGGAGAAGTAAGATGGAAACAAGAAGATTATCAATGTTGTTCTAAGGTTAAATTATTTTGGTGGGAGAAAGTTGTTTATAATGTAAGGAGTCATAAGAAAAAACATTCCTCAAACCCACAACCCAAAGAAATCTAATCCTTCCACCATACCTCCTCCTCCAATTGGTTCCCTACTATAAATGAAAATTCTCTCTTAATTATTGTAAAAAAATTCTTGACCTTAGGAAGTTTCTCAGGTAAACCTAACTAATCGCTTCTTTCCAATTTTACTCTTAAACCTTTGTTTGAGTCAGTTGTGTCACTTTTGTGGCCATTTTTAGATAAATCTTTCTTTGAGTCAATTGTGTAAATTTTGTTGCCATTTTTAGATCTCAGTTAAAATAATCTAGGTTTTATTTAGTAAATAAAATGCCTAAGTATTAACCCTGTATTCTAAGAATTTATGATTTCGAATTAGAAATTAAATATCAAAATTAAATATAAATTATAGTTTATCATATATATTATATTTGATATTTTATTACAAGGAAAATATAGGTATCTTTTCATTTATTACTATTTTCATATCCTTGTAATTTATTTGATTATAAATAAGATAACTTTCACACCATTTAGGTGTGGTGGATTAATCAAACATTCACAATGACCCTATCAGAGTCGATTTTGGCATTTATAGAGGCATTTAAGATAAGTACGTCCAATGTTTGGCCAATTTAAAATGTCATAAGCTAAATTAGAAGCTTAATTATGAAGATTAGGTAGACTAAATCACTCAATCATATTCAAATCTAGTGTTGTGAACTCACATAAGTTGACTTGAATTTCAAGTGACAGATCCGGACTAGCTCCAAGGATAAATTAGTGACTTTGAGTTAAGTTACTCTTGGTTTGGTTGGATGATTTGATTGTTATATGAACGACACATGCACTGTGGTTCTGCATGTAACATATTTTATCATTGTATGACGTGTACTATCTTACATTTATGCTATGTGATGCTATGTTGTAGAGCTCTATTATATTAGGCTATGTCATGTTATGTTGTGTGTAAGTCCATAACATCACTTGTAAAATATTTTAAGCAAATTATTTCACACGTAATAGACATATCATGCATGCAGTGATGACTTTATTTTTAATAGGAAATCGGGTCGTTACATTTAAAAAGTGGTAAAAAACCTTTTTCAGTCCAAAGTTTAAAATATGATTTTAATGCTAATATATAAATTAATATAAATAAGCATGGTTATATTTGTGAAATCATTTTGATGGAAAATACATTAACATAATAAATTATTTATTTGCTTAACTATTATATATCAACTTGTGATGTATACACACTATTCTAAAAATGTTTATAATTGAAATAATAAACTATTTAATAATACCTTAATTAAAAACTTATACGTCTTACATTTATTTAATTATTTAATATAATAACTCAATAATAATTTATTTATATTTAATTTTATTTCAAAAAAAAAGTTATTAAATAAATAAATTACTTGCCACCGTCAATTACAAAAAAACTAAACACAGATATTTCATTTTCAAACATTCTATTTTGGAGACATGAGGAACAAAACCACCAAAGGTTATTTCAATTGTTCTCTCAATATTTTGTAAGGAAAATTTAAATAAAAATAAAAAAATAAAAATAAAAAGTTAGATTCCTAAAAATACCAAACATCTGTGTATTTAGATTCCACGATGAAATGGGATAATGATATCCATTTCTGGTCTCCGTCGTGGTTCCACCACGTGTCTGCAGTTTCCCGTTATATCCACAGAACCCGAAAGCAATGGGACGTTGCGTTATCCATTCACAACCCTATATCTTCGATGTTGTTTCTTGACCGCTCCATTTTCCCTTCATTTTCCTTCGCCTAGAAACTTCTCTCTTCCCCTTTTCCTCCTCCTCCTCCTCCACTTCATCACAACCTCCTTATTTCCATCCCCGATTATCTCGTTCTTAATGATCTTATCACCTACCATATATCCATTTAAATTTCCCCCAATTTTCCACCTCCTAATCCCTCCTACTTTCTTCAATCGCTCCGATTTCAATACATTCATCGTTGATTTCAATGGCGGACGCTGTCAGCAACATTTCTTTTTCCCCCTCTTTGCGTTGTTCTAATCATCTTCCTCCACCAATTTCCGCCCTTAAATCCCTCAATTCTTCTTCCTATCCCTTGAATTGGCAACGCCTTTCTGTCAATTTACCCTCCACCTTGCGGCCGTTTTCGATCAGCGACTCCAATAGCCGAATAATAGAGTTTACAGAAGCTAGGGACATCTCCAGGAACTCTGTTTCTCCTACACGATCTTCGACGGTATCCCTAATTTTGTATTTTCATCCTTCTCCTCATATTAGGGTTTCTTTTTCTTGGTTTCTTTAGCTTCTCTGTGTTTATTTTCTTTGATTGTTGTGATATGGGTCATTATGAACAGAACTATTATGCAATTTGTTTAGTAAGCCTTTTGTTGCTATTCAATAGAGTGGGTTTCGGGTTCCAAAAGCTCAGAAATGGTGGGATAAAGGGTTGCAGCCTAACATGAAAGATGTGACTGGTGCACAAGATTTTGTGGATTCTCTTTTAAGTGCAGGGGATAAGCTTGTTATTGTTATTTTCTTCTCCCCTGGTTGTGGTGGCTGCAAAGCTCTTCACCCGAAGGTCTTTCCTCATTCTTTAGTGTCTTGGAGAATCTATGTTCCATGTTTTCCTGCTTCTGAAGTTTGTTTATGCTTTACAGATGTGCCAATTTGCTGAAATGTATCCTGATATCCAATTTTTGCAAGTGAACTATGAAGAACATAAATCCATGTGTTATAGCCTTGGTGTTCATGTGCTGCCCTTCTTTCGCTTCTACAGAGGTGCGCAGGGCCGCCTTTGTAGTTTTAGCTGCACTAATGCAACGGTAAGACATCTTCAAATAGTTTGACAGTGTTATCAGATTATAATATTTGATTTGTGTATGTTCATTGAGCTGTTTTGTGGTTTCCTCGGTGGCTCGTGAGTATCAAACTTCTGTTGAGGATTGTTGGGAGGGAGTCTAACATTGGCTAATTTAGGGAATAATCATGGGTTTATAAGTAACGAATACATCTCCATTGGTATGAGGCCTTTTGGAGGAGTCGAAAGCAAAGTCATGAGAGCTTATGCTCAAAGTGGACAATATCATACCATTTTGGAGGTTCGTGATTCCTAACATGGTATCAGAGTCATGCTCTTAACTTAGTCATGCCAATAGAATCCTTAAATGCCAAACAAAGAAGTTGTGAGTCTCGAAGGTGTAGTCAAGAGTGACTCAAGTGTTGAACAAATGGTGTTACATTGTTCGAGGACTCCAGAGAAGGAGTCGAGCCTCGATTAAGAGGAGGCTCTTTGAGAGATTGACTAATTTAGGGAATGATCATGGATTTAGAAGTAAGGAATACATCTCTGGTATGAGTCCTTTTGGGGGAGCCGAAAGCAAAGCCATGAGAGTTTATGCTCAAAATGGGCAATATCATAACATTGTGGAGAGTCGTGATTCCTAACAACTTCTGTCTCTGCTAATGCACTTGTTTGATAAAGAATTGGTGTGATCTCAGATTAAGAAATTCAAGTATGCGCTAGCCAAGCACAACACGGAACGATGCAGCCTTGGCCCGACCCAAGGGTTGGAGGAGAAAGATCTTGTGGCACTTGCTGCAAACAGAGAACTCTCATTCAACTACACGCCTAAACCAGCAGAAGAGGTTCCCATGCCCATCCCTGCCACTGTGGGAGGGCTAGGAATATCAGAATTGGATAAATCACGTTCGGACTCGGAGCAACTGCCTCTTCCTCTACCTTCAACTTTCCTAAAGAGTGGCCATGTCTCCAAGGAGAATGCCTATGTGGGATGAAGCTGATACCCATATCGAAACCGTACTACAAGAGCTGTTTGTAAAGGTTCGGGGTATATTAATGAAACCTGGTGAAGTTGGTTCTTTTTTTTTCCTTTTGTTTTCATTTTCAGTGGCTTGGATCCCAGCCTGCTGATTCTTTAGAATATCAGCAGCTAGCTGTGTGATTGGTTGTATGTAGTCACTTGTTGTTGTTGTTGTACATGGCTGTATAAAGCTTCTCTGCAAGATTCTGAGTTTAAAGTTTTCTGAAAGACTGTAATTAGTAAATTGGTGGCAGTCCAATGAAGAATCTTGTTGTAATGAAGTTTAAGATTTCCAGTTGGATCAGCTATGCCTTGCATTGTTATCTCTTATTCTCATACAATCATGTGACTATAAAGATATGCAGGAGCTCTAAGATCACAGGGAAATGCCTGCAAGTTCAATCCATTCTAGGCTCGTTGTGAGATTTTATGGCAGGACATAATATGCTTCTAACAAGGACCCGTTGGCAGACACCGCGTTATTGCTAACCTGCAAGCATATGAAGGACATGGCAGCTCCTCATCAATTTAGAAGTGATTTAAGGAAAGGTCTCAAAAAGTGTGTGAAAACCTACTTGCCATATCATTGTTCGCCTCGACCTCGGACCCTCGTGGTTGACAAAATTCTCCAAACCCAGGGAAACATATGTACTACTTTTTCTTTTAAAATAAAATTATTACTACGTGCATATTGTAATTGCTATTTACATAAAATTAAGTGATCCCGTGGCAAAGTTCAATAATTGAAATGTCATTGATCTACCCTAACATTGACAATGTGACCTATGTGTGGAAAACTAATTAGACTTAATTCCATGGCATCCTTAGCTGAAGTCATCATCCGTACATTAGACCCTTGTCTTCAATTGAAAAAATGTTAAGCATAGGATGAAATATTCCTTGGACCTATTTTCTTTTTCGAGTAGGATTAGATGCATTGTACTTCTGAGTTCCGGTCAATATTTTGAAAAGCTTTGGTACTTAAAATTTTATGATTTTGAAACATATTGAAAATTAAAACATGAAAAAAATAGTTTCACTATCGGGTCGATTTTGCCATATTTTTCGTTATAGGTTACAATTGGCGAAACTTTGACGTGATTTTAAGCAATTCTGAAACCTTAATTTATCATGCTAGACTCTTTCTATATATAAAAGACACGGGACTCAAGCAAAAATTAAGAAGAAAAAAAACTGTGTAGCATTGAATAAACAACCTGACAATGCGAAACCCAAGCACAAAAACTCTAATCGCGTCGTTTCTAAAAATCAATGAAAAAACAGAGTTCTAGTCAGTTTTTCAAAAAGTTATAGCAATGAAAGTTAAAATTTGATGTTTTGAAATGTATGAGAAGTAAAAACACGAAAAAGTAGTTTCACTATCGGGCCATTTTTGCAATATTTTCATCATGTTACAATTAGTGAAACTTTTCTATATATACCAGAAATAGTATGGAATAAGAATTAAGAAGAAAAAAACTCTATTGCATAAAATTAATGACATGACCGTGCGAAAACTCTAAGCGCGTCATTTCCAAAAATTGACGAAAAACTGAGTTCCGGTTAATATTTTGAAAAGTTATGGTGATGAAAGTTAAAATTTGATGATTTTGAAATGTATGAAAAGTAAAAATATGAAAAAGTAGTTTCACTTTCGGGCCATTTTTGCAATATTCTTTCGTCAGGTTGCAATTAGTGAAACTTTGACGTGATTTTAAGTAGTTCTGAAACTCCAAATTAAGAAGAAAAAAAAACCCTATAGCATAAAATGAATGATATGATAGTGCGAAAACTCTAATAGCGTCATTTCCAAAAATTGACGAAAAGCTTAGTTCCGGCTAATATTTTAAAAAGTTATGAAAGTTCAAATTTAATGATTTTAAAACATATGAGAAATAAATATTGAAAAAATAGTTTCACTGGCGACCCATGGTTACAATGAGAGATTTGGCGTGATTTTAAGCACTTTGGAAACACTGATTTCTGGTGCTAGACTCTATCTATATATATAAAAGAAAGAGTACTATGAAATTGCAAAACCCTAGTCGAAAACTCTAGTCATGTCATTTCCAAAAATCGACGAAAAAATTGAGCTCCATTCAAGAAATAGTACTGAAGCAAAAATTAAGAAAGAAAAAAATCTTGTAGCATTGAGTTAATGACCTAAAAATGCGAAACCCTAGCGCAAAAATCATAATTTTGTCATTTTCAAAAATTGATGAAAAAGCGGATTACAGTCAATATTTTAAAATTTTATGGTGACGAAAGTTAAAATTTAAATATTTAAAAATATATGAGAAGTAAAAACACACACTCACAAAAAAAACTCTCGCGCCATTTTTGCGATATTTTTCGTTAGGCTACCGTTTGTGAAAATTGATGTGATTTTAAGTAGTTTCGAGAACATAATTTCTTGTGTACTCCTTTTATATATATATATATATATATAATTTTTGCTGTAGTACTATTTTTGGTAGGTATATATATACCTGCAAGAAATAGTATTAAAGCAAAAATTAAGGAAAAAAAACTAGCTAGAAAACCCTAATCAAGTCATTTAAAAAAAGACCAACGAAAGAACTGAGTTCCGATCAATATTTTGAAAAGTTATAGTGACGAAAATTAAAATTTGATGATTTTGAAACATGTGAGAAGTAAAAACAAAGAAATAGTTTCATTGTGGGGCCATTTTTGCTATATTTTTCGTCAGGTTATAATTGGCAAAACTTTGACGTGCTTTTAAGCAGGTTTGAAAACCTAGTTTATCGTGCTAGACTCTTTATATATACAAGAAATAATACTAAAGCAAATATTAAGAAGAAAAAACCATATAGCATTGAATTAATGAGCTACGAAACTCTAGAGTGAAAACTCTAATCGTGTCATTTTCAGAAATCGACAAAAATTCTGAGTTTCGATCAATATTTTGAAAATTTATAGTGGCAAAAGTTAAAATTTGATAATTTTGATGAGAAATAAAATTATTACTGCATGCATGGAGTCATTGGTCTATCCTAATATAGAGACTATGGCTTATGTGCGGAAAGGTAACTAAACTTGATTTAATGACCTCCTCTACTAACATCGTCATTCGTACATTAGACCCTTGTCTTTACCTAAAAACAAATATGTTAGGCCAAGAATGAATATTTCTTGGGCTTTATTTTCTTTTCCAAGTAGGGTTAGATGCACTGTACTTCTCTAGGCATGGTTACACATGCACCCATCAACCCACTAGGCAGACTCGTTGATAAGAATCACGGTGTTCCAAATGGACCTATTGCCATCAACCCACTAGGCAAACTCGTTGATAAGAATCACGGTGTTCCAAATGGACCTATTGCCATCAACCCACTAATGGACCTATTGCCATCAACCCACTAGGCAGACTCGTTGATAAGAATCACGGTGTTCCAAATGGACCTATTGCCATCAACCCACTAGGCAAACTCGTTGATAAGAATCACGGTGTTCCAAATGAACCTACGCATGAAGAGATTAATTGATTTCAAATCTGTCGCATTAAACACTCAAGCACATCAACATTTGTTAGAAAAAACTATGTTTAATTTTATAAATTATGTAAAAGTCAAATAGTCAATTTGACTTATTCTTTGTGGAGATTAAAGAGGATCAGTAATAAATCCCGTCCACAAACATATCAGGATTGAATCCCGGCCACAAACGTCTTTTGTCGGGAGACTATAAATACCCACAATATGTAATGTAAAAAACAGATTCGTGGATGAATGTAATTCAGATCTCAAATTGAGACGTTTCCCTTAGAAATCCGAGCATCATATTTGTCATTTCTAAGTTTCAAGTAATTCTTGTGGTAGAATTGCACCCGAATCAATCAATCAAGCCATGATCAAGTTAGATTGTGGAGTGACTCAATTTAGAACAAGGTTCCAAATCTTGCTTCTAGATCTTCGATCGTAAGAGGTAATCTAATTCTAGCCTTATCTCTAGGTTAATCCAAATTTCGTATAAGGAGGTGTTAATTACTTTGATTCAAGGGTTCTTGCTAAAACAAAAGCTTGGATCATTGGGCTGAGGATTAGGGTTTCCTTATCAGTTTGGTATCAAAGCGTAGGTTGCATCTTTGTGGCTGACTCTAGAATTGATTTTATCTTTAATTTCCGCTATTGTTTATTGTCTCTTTAAATCTGTCATTTATTTTCTTACTGTCATTTCCAACGTTCTTCATTNAAAGAAAAAAAAAAAAAAAAAAAAAGACCATTGCACGTTTATTTGAAGATCAAATAAATTTTTATTCTCATTTTTCCCTAAAGCATATAAATCTGGAATTGTTATGTTCGATCTTCATGACCATTCTCTTTAGAATTCATTTTTTTTCAGTGTGCAATTATATCCAAAAATATCTTTGTCTCTAATTTATTTGTTCATTTCTTGTTTTATTTTGTTGTTACTCCATAATTATCTTGTCTTGATTGTCTTGAATAGCTCGCTACTATTAGAATTGATTTATCCATATTATCTACCTTGATAAGAAAGTAGTCACTTTCCCAAATAGCCTACCTTTGTGTGTTAAACACGAGTGTTCTTGAGTGTAAAATCAGTGAGTTGAGTGTGTGAGGTCCTAAGCATATAAAACTACTGTTTGTACAATCATGAACCAAGACGAGAAAAATGGAGGGGAGATCAATGATCTAGTTGAAGAAGTCTAGAAGAATGAGAAGAAACTAGAAGATGGTATTCATTTGACACTTATTACAAGAAGACTTCTTAAAACTCAAGTTATGGAGAATGATGTTGATGATCAAAGAGACAACCTATTTCACACGCGGTGTTTAGTCAAGAGGATTGCTTGTAGTCTTATCATTGATAGTGGAAGTTGCACCAATGTAGTAAGTACTATGTTTGATCAAAAGGTTGCAAATTTCAACTCAAGATCATCCTAAACCTTACAAGCTCCAATGGCTCAATGATAGTGGAACAATGAAGGTAATTTCCCAAGCTTTAATATCTTTTACTTTGGGAAAATATAAAGATGAAGTTCTTTGTGATGTGTTGCCAATGCATGCTGGAGACATATTGCTTGGCCGACCATGACAATTTGACAGCAGGGTTATGTATGATGGCTATTTGAATAGGTATTCTTTTGTAAAAGATGGTAGAAAAACCATTCTTGTACCTTTTAGTTCTGCAAATGTATTTGTTGATCAATTAAAGTTGGAGGAAAGAAGGAAAGAGTTTGAGGAAAAAGAGTTAAAAGAAAAACAAGAGTGAGTGAAAAAGTAGAGAAAAATCAAAGAGAAAAAAAAAGAATGAAAAAAGCGA